GGGAATTGGGTAGCGGGATAGCGGGGACGGAGTAGCGGGGATGCAGGGCCGCAGGAATGGGGGCGGGAAGTTCGATCGGGCGCCGTTGATCGAAGCACGTGCGCAGAGGTAAACAGACAGGACTAGAGATCACCGACGCTAGAGGAAGTTGGAATAGATGAAATCCAAGCGCCGGAGTCATGCTAAAAAATTGCCGGTGAGGGTAAAGATCGGAGGGCAAGGATAGGGCAATTTATCTGGAATTATGCATCCTCTCGGCTGCATGTGCCGTATCAGAGTTGATAGGAGAGGTGGGGACACATTATTTCGATTGATCGAGGTAGGTAAACATAAAAAGAATGAAGCACTATCTGACTGAGTGATTAAAAAGGAACCAGATATGGAAATAATGCCCGTATTTCGTCATTTGTGAATACCTCCTTGGGAGTCACTACTTATTGAACAGCATCCGCCATGCATAGAGTCGAGCGAAATCTAACGCAATTGGAAGTTACACAAAAAATTGTTGTTTTAAACGGGAAATAATCACAATTTAGATGAAAGAATTTACTCCTTTTAACTATGAAAATAATATATACCATCATAAACTGATAATTAAATACACACACAATAAAATTAAATCATTTTGATGAATCATTTGATTGATATAATTGAGAATTGACAGAATTTTCTACAATATGCATCGAATGCAAAATTAGGAAAATTAAACGTCTTAATTCTCTAAAACATCTACCAAATCCAAGTGTTTTATCATTTAAAATAAAATAAGAATGTCTTTTTTTAGACGATATAACTAATCGAATCATACAGGCATTACAGGAATTTTTGTGCAACAAACTCTATGCTTCCAGGGCGTTAGATTGTCGCTACGACTTCCAGAAGCAATTCAGCCAGCGGGGTGTGACAAAGGAGCAGCTGTTGCCAAGGCCGATGGCATCAAAGGCGCTGAGGGGAATGGTAGGGTATGGACCGGATGCTCGAGGACGTTTTTGTGAGACAAACATTTCAGAACGTTGATGCCATACGTTCATTAGTCTGACACTGTCCACAAAAAACATAGGGCCCGGTAAACAATTTCCCGTGCTCTTATAAGTGATATTTTTTTTCCACCGAGGTTTGTGCACGTGAACGTAGAATAAATTATGTATTTTTTACATTTAAAAGAGGTTCAAATATATTTATTCAGAAACTAAACACAATTGAATTTAATTCTATTTGTATTTAATAAAATCGAAGTTTCATTCGGGATAATCTAAATATAAGATTCACGGTTTGAGGCGATGCATTGATATTTTTATGGGTTTCTGCACAATTTTAAATAATCCACATTCCGTGTATAAAATAAATTTGGTTCTCCGTGATGTGTGAGTCGAAGAATATGTAGGTGAGGCAACGTATCTGGGAACATTTATACTACGTCTATCAGACTTATTGCCATTCATATCTAAGCACATCTGCGCATAGCTCACACATGCTCACATATAGAGATGAATTAAAGATAACAGAATACCTGTTGGCTTACTTCCCTCTAACCTTCCGCTGTCTGCAGGCAACAAAAATCTAAAATATTTAATATTGTATCACATTTTGCGAGCAAAATGTAAAAAGAATACTCGTTGCCGACATATGTTATTCTTTTCATAGATTTATTCTTATTTTCCCGTCTGCTTTTGCACCAATCGACTTATTTTATTAGCAATAAATACATCACTTTTAACCCAGTTAATTTTGTTTTTATGATGAGCATGATTTTTAAAATACAAATAGTTTTAATAAAAATAATCCTATTTTTTGGCAATTGAAAGCGTAAGTAGAGTGAAAAATTTGTATGAAAAATTAGTACAAATCATCTGTGATGTTTTCTTACTTACAACTGGACAGCGTTGATTAAATGTATACTTTTAATGTTTAATACTAATAAATTTAAAGAATTCTATCACGAAAGTTTGTCACATTCAAATCCAAATATCAATATTATGGAGCTGAAACACAATTGTCAGGTAACTCCAAAAATATTACATGTCTAAAATCAGAATTATTTAAATTCGAAAACATAAAAATGTGTGTATTGTGTTCCTTAGAATACCTGTAAAAATTCAGAACAAAATTTTGTCCATGAATTTTGTCTTGTAAAACTTGTAAAGCTTTTGCAGGAATTAATAAGATTGAAAAGTCGAAATATTTACAAAGAGGTTCTTTTCAGCAGTTGATGAATCAAAGCAATTAATATTGAAATCATTACTGATCATTAATTCGTGCGTACCAATTTATGATATATTCGGTAAATGCACTCAGCAATTCTCAAGAAAAAAGTTTCAATATATGTATTGCTGAATTAAAAGTTGGGTACTTCAGCGTGTCCTGTACACACAAATCGCTAGATTGCTTCAGTGAAATACCTTCTGCTTCGTTCGGTTTATTACATCAGAACATTAACACGTACATCAAAGCAGCTTTCATGATAATGAAATTGTGTGTAGTACTAAATTAGCTTCTGAACAACAATTACCTTTAATTGAAACAATATTTCAAGCATTTACGAAATGTATTAAACCGATATCTAATCTGTTGAACCAGAGTCATTCCTCATCACTGCATTTTCAACAGAGTGGACTGATGCTGATGAATTCAGTATTTATTACATTTTCGAACAGCAACTATGTAAAATAAGTGCTAGAAGAAGTGGGACAACGATTACGTGTTTGGCACTAATTTTTTACCAGCAACGTCACATAATAAAGCTTGCATTAACAAGGATAACGATCCACATATATTTGGTCAAAAAAGCCCAATCCACTAGAATGAAACCATTCGTTTCCCTGTGAATAAATTCAGATCATCTAAAATAATAATTAGGTCCAACAACAAATCTAAAAGTCAGAAATGTATAGTTATTTATACATTTGAAAAATGTATAACATTATTATTGCTTCAAATATCTGCTACTCCTGTAGATTACCTACTTGGATTTATATGCAAACTTTTAAAAATCCTGAAAGACAGAAATGCCGACATATTTTTTAAAACGGAGATGTTATTGAACCTGGCAGAATTCATTCCATTATTATATTTTTTGAAAAGACTGCCTGTGATTGCCATAGGGTATTTCAGAAGAATTTAATTTACAGAAAACAATAGTAAATTGATTTAATACTTGAAAATACTGGAAACCAGATTGTACAACGTGGTTTCTTCACAGAAACGACGTGGTACATACTGATTTCCAGTATTTTAAAATGCTATTTCAATTTACTATTGTTTTACTATCGTTGGTACAATAGTTCGTATATAGTTTCAGGACTGCGAAATATAGAATATCCGGAATGCAGAGTTTCCACAAATGTTGTCTGACGTGAAAGCAGTCTGTGAGGACTCACCATGTGCAGGCCGTAGAGAACCTTGGCCATGGCGACGATGCGCTCCACCACGTCCTCCACCTTGGGCGGCTTGCCGTCCTCGGCCACGGCCCCCTGCGTGCCCAGCTTGGAGTAGAGGTAGTGCTGCCACGACATCTCGTCCGCAGGGTCGATCTTGTCGGGCAGCGTCAGCTGCACCTGCGCGAACTCCGCGATCTCCGACTCGGCCGTTTTCTGAACAACAGGGCGAGGCGGCGGTCAGCTTTTGGATTCTTCCCTAAGTGTGTACTAGGATTCGTTTAACCGACCACTTGACGTAAATCGGCTGTTCACGGTTTCGTCCAATCGGGAGCTCGAACGTCCCCATAGTGGCGTCAATGTGGCAACATATAACCTCGCGATTGGATGAAACAGCAACAGCTTATTTACGTCAAGTGCACGACTAAATAAATCGTACTATAGTGCATTTATATCTCAGCAGATGGCGGTGATTTTGCTCCAGCTGAAATATGAGATTCAACGCTGACCTACACGTTGGATTAAGGGATTTTCTCTCCTCCACGTATCTCCCCCAGCGGGACACCTTCCTAACCGAGACAGGTTTTAATCTACTGACAGAACTTCCGACATGCAAATTAGTGTAGTACGTGTGTATGCGCAAGGGAAGACAAGGTGATAAGGATTAAAAAATTATCCGATCGACGAACTGGCCTTACAGAAGTGAGCAAAACATGTTTACATTAACGAAATCGAAAACTCCCTAATATAATTTCGAGTATTCTTACTCGGCAAGTTATATATACTTTTTTATTTAATATATAAATATAATAATATTGATTAACGATATAGGGAAGGGGCAGAATAGGTAGATTTATCAGTGTTTGGAAACTTCTGGAAGAATTTTGATTTTTAAGGCGATTTATGTCCTTGGGGAGTCTGCATTTAATTCTGTTTGAGGTGATTGCTTGTTGTCCTAGTTGAAAATGGGGTGTACCTAGGCAGGATGGTAAGAGAGTGAAAAATTTCGAGGATAAGTTGAACAGGTGGTCTGTTATTAAATGTATTTGAAGTTTATAATGAATTTGTCTATTGGGTATAAAGTATGATTAGTTAATGAGTTTCCGCAGAAGGTTTCTCGCAAGTTTAAATTACTAGAAGCAACGTTTATCCAGACTGGACAGATATATGTCAGCGTGGGCACAATGATACTCTTGTAGAGAAGCGCTTTCGTTTCAACTTTTAGAGATAAGGATCAAGAAGGAAAGATCGCTCGCTGTCCGTGATCAGTTTGTTAGGATAAATTTTGTATTTTTGCATTTAATCTATTTGTATTTAATAAAATCAAAGTTTCATTCGTTATACTCTAAATATACGATTCACGGTTCTGAGGCGATGCATTGATATTTTTATGGGCTTCTTCACACTTTTAAAAACTTCACATCCTGTGTATAAAATAAAGAGGGTATTGCTCCGGCATTCGCCTTGTACCCGGCGTGACGCGACCGAAGGTTTGAGTTGAAGACTCATGACTGTGCGAGGTGCCCACATTTCGACCACCATATCGTGGTCTTCCTCGGGCCTGGATTGCGCTCCAACACTGTAGCCCTGTGGAAGACCAGTGATGTTTGAAATGTCGGCATCATTGGCCCCGCCGCGGTGTCACGCGAACAGATCGCAACGTTTTGGTTGGGCTTGCTCATGATGAAAAGAGAGGGGCGTGCTATTGCGCTTCGTATCCTTCTTCAGCCAATGAGCTACAGTCACCAGTTTGCGACATTAGCAGGAATTTTAAATGCAGCCTGATACCAAAATGATCACCTTGTTACAAGTACTGGGATCAGATATATGAAGCATTTTTTGAAATATCCCTTTTTTTAAAATTTCAACTACATCCTGATCGTGTAATTTTTGGCTGGTCACAGTTGAAAATTTTCTCTTTAAGCCACTTTCAAAATATTTCTCAACAGTTCTCGCTCTCGATACATCATGACGGCTAGTGTCTGGTCTGGCTTTTCGAACCAAGTGCCCGTGTGGTGGTCACGTGGTTCGTGAGATAATATGTTGATGCGCAGAAGGGGCAAAAATGGTCGTACCGGACTAGCTCACCCACGTCTTGTCACCATGGGCTTGCTCACCTTGAGATGATTGATTGTTAATGATTCAGAGCGTGTCAATGGCTAAGGTCATTAGCTTCAAAAGTGTAGTGCCTGCTTTTTTCCTCGGGAGGGAAGGTGATTTTCCCTCGCTGGATGGCGAAATCCGTCGCCGACCTACCATTAGATGACAAAAATGATGACTTACCAAATGATTAAAATGCTACAGGTTTTCCCCTCGACTAGGTATCTCCCACCAGCGTGGCACCATCCCAACCGGAAGAAGCTCTAAGCTCCTGACAATCTTTCGACATGTGTGGCAGTGAAATGCATGTTAGTGTAAGTGTAAGGGGTGAAGATAGGACAAGGAAGAGGAAGAGAAAATTGCGCGCCATCCGTGGCCCGCTTGATAGGGTACTGCTCCGGCATTCGCCTGGTATAGATCGGAGAAACGAATGAAAACAACCGATCGGAGCAGCCGGCCGCTCGAATTCCGCTCCAGGCAGCGACTGAATTCGCCCGTGGCCCGTTTGTTAGGGTACTACTCCGGCATTTGCCTGGTATAGATCGGAGAAACGAAAGAAAACAACCGATGGGAGCAGCCGGCCGCTCGCATGCCCCTGCAGGCAGCTTGGTAGCCGCGCGCGCAGCGTGGCGGGCGGAGAGCGCACCTTGAGGAAGCGGTCCTTGCAGTGCTGGACCAGCTCCTGCTCGCGGCCGGCGAAGAGGTTGAGGCCGACGGGCAGCAGGCGCTTGAGGCAGGCCACCATGAGGCTGGCCTGCAGCTCCTTGTCCTTGTCGCGCTTCTTGTCGCGGTGCTTCTTCTTCTTCTTGCCGCCGCCGCCCGCCGCCGCGCCGCCCTCGGGCACCGCCGCCGACCGCCGCGTCGCCGTCGGCATGATCAGCGTCATGTTGTCGATCTCGTTCGCCGAGATGAAGTTCTGCTCCTCCTTGATGAAGTACTGCAGCGGGCGACGCGGCAACAGACAAATCGTGAGTCGCGTGCTCAGCGTTTCGGACAACACATGTTTATTAATTATGCCTACGCGAAAACACATAAAATCGTCTTCCAAAAGAATACCAACTGAATTACTCTCGTACAGCACCGAAATAAGTTAAATATTTTTAAAAACATTCTTTACTAATACTGCAATAAAATATTGTACGAGTAGTATTAGCGTACACATACAAGTAGTACTAGTAAATTCACCCCTCCGAAATTACACCATGAATTCATTTGAGTGATTGAGAACTTTCCTATTCATGAAAAACCAAAAAATTCCGATAGAAAAAAATGCTGAATATACTGACGTCATAATTCAAAATTTTCTAAAGAAAATAGTGTACCAACAAATGAAATTTCATAATCGATTCATTCAAGTATGTACAAAGAATTAATTTCTATTTTTCTATTAATTTATTGCGTGTCGCTCAAAAATGTTAAAAATGCTACATGGTGACCAAATATTTATACCCATTTCGCAATTTATCAGCTAGGCGATTTTTACGACGTACCTGGGACTTGGACCAGATGTTGAAGATGTCCGCCACGTTGTTGTACAGATCCTCCGCTTCAGCAACGTTGTTCCGCATCCAGTGGTTGCGTTGCAAGTCAACGTATTTGATGAGCAGAGGGTAGAAGGCGTAGATGTCTCGCACCAACAGCTGCCAGTCCTCTTGGATCTGCGACTCCACCTACGACAGAAGCCGTTGCGTCAGGCGATAAAAGCAACGCGTTTGTTCGCTGGGCGTTCAGAAGACATGCAGAAAACAACTGACTGCAGTTGCGAGTATCACATCCAGCCTCTATCTTTTTTTGACTGTAATTTCAGTGAAAAATATATATTTCTGTTACTAGGACTATTATTATTATTATTATTATTATTATTATTATTATTAATACACTATGCTTCAAAAACTTTTTACAAGAACAGTTAGATTTCAAATATTGCATTCAAATCGCTGAAGAATTCGATTGACAGATAAAACAAGTATTTACGTTTAAATGTAGTTGTTATTTATTTAAAATAGAATACAACTATAAAAAGTGAAATTTGAAGATGTCAGACTAAAATTTATCTTTTATTTATCACTCTCCAGTCTGCCTGATATTCGATATCGAAGCAGATTTGTAGCAATAGCTAGAAAGTATTTTCAAAAGCCTTTCACCCCAAAATTATTACAAATAATTCGAGAAATAATTAATGTTTTTGTAATTTTTTTCTAAAGTTAGAAAATAAAACTTTCTTTTATGAATTATGATTTAATTGCTTAGCACAGTTCACACACATTGTTTGTTGAATTTCGACAACGCTCATTCACAGCAGTTTACTGATAATTTGTACATTTTATTTCATGTTGAAATAAAATATCAGCGCGCAAACGTATAATTTGAATCTTCAGGGATATTATTTTAATTTTCAAAGAGCTTCATTTGTTGTTTATTAATATTAGAGTTGTGCACCGTCGGTAACAAACACTACAAATCGGAGCATAATATTTATAATAGTAAGAGCAGAGTGATATTCATTTTAAAATTCTTCAGCAATAAAGAAGTAATACAAGAGTTAAAAGAATCAATAAAGAGCGAATGTGTTTTTCGCTACTGCAGTGGAATATAATTCGGAAGTAGCAATAACAAGAGCATGGTGGAGAATCCACAGCAAGAAAATGTCATGTGTGACAAGCACTGTTACTTGCTGACAACCTAGTACACTTTCAAGGCAAAACGGCGTTTCTAGGCATGCCCCCAAAATGTTATCGTAGCTACAGCGTCATTCTCATGCATATTTGCGGTCGTACAAGATATAATAAATTAGTAACAAGTAATAACAAGAGTACATACGATTCAATATTTAAAATTTGATGTATTTTTTTTATCGTCATCCATTTTCAGAAGCAGATGAAAGCTATAAGCAGAATATTTCTTGGAACTTGCGTGCACGATTGCATTAGTGAATGGATTTTTGGAGTAATTTGAAAAATTATATTTGAATAATGTCAAATGGCCGCTGTGTATTTATATAAATAAAAAATAAAAATCCGCTCTCGTATGGCATAAATCAATGTATTTTAATATAGCACGTTCGCTTACAGTACAAAACATTTCAAATTCCATGTAATTCTCACTTTTTCATAAGAAATTTTGGATTTTTGAACGAAATACCCTAATATACATAACTTTAAAACTAATGCAGGATAATTCTGGTCATAGAATTGAAAATATCAGCGTAGAGGAACCAAAATGTGATTTTCTACAAGAAATTAGCGCGTAGGATTAAAAATAAAAAAATGAAAAATTTAACGCAAGATATATTGAATGATTCGATTTGACGAAGGATTTTTAATAAAAACTGTTATCATTTTACGTTTTTCTTTGTATAAAAACGATATTGTAATAATGAAAAGAACTCACAAAGAGCTAAACATGTTTATCTGACGTACACTACTAGTGAGGTTAAGATAAAAAAAAACCGATACGTTATTTGTACGTTTAATAGAAACCTTTAAAAAATTATGACAACTTCACGCCTCTGCGATTATTCATGACTGATATTGGAATGTTTCGTATTTCGGTTGGTTTACGCATTACCCCACTCCTCCAGAAGTAAAAATTGGTCTTAAAGGCGTATTTGATACTTTGTTTTGGTCTTCCTTCACCAGTACCACGGAAGCCTCCGTCCACATCAACAACACGTAACGACAAAGACATTCTCCATTCTAGCGTGCGATTCCTTTTCATGCAAGAGATGCCTGCGAACTCTGTAAAGTTGGAACCAGACTTAGGCTCATTCACAAGAGAACAGAAACGTAAACGGAACGAGAACGCAAAATTGTGCTGCCGTCTTACTCAGTGGATACGCAATAAGAATGAACGATATCAACCAGATTGTATTTTATGCTCTTTAATTTTAAAACATTATTCAGGAAAGTTTCGAGATCAATTTTTCAATATCTTCAGTAGCACTAAGAATTTTACACGTGGAGTGAAAACATGTGGAATTTAATTTAATTTAAACACGTGAAATATAAAACACCTTGCCGCCATCTTGTGTACTACCAAGTACTAAAGTATTTCCACTGCCTCCACGGAATTTACTCAAAGGAACTATTTATAATCGTGATCGTAAATGAGAAAGTCGCTAACTGGAAGCTTCGGGTTTCATGGTAACGTTATCCGAGTACACTACCATGTACGGGAGGTACGAACTCCTAACTCCTAGAGTTTAGTATTTTCTTGAAGCCGAAGCTATTGCAGAATTAAAAGAATATAATGCTCATCATTGCCATCAAAATCATTGTTGATTAAACGCCCAACGTATACATGATATAAAGAAGCTAATTATTCTGCAATAATAACGCTCGTTTTACTTACTTTCGTTGGCTTTATAAATCTAATCTCATTATTAGGTTATTACACCGCTAAATGGGCGCCTTCATATTTACTTTTATATCCACTGTCGATGACAGGATCGCGATTATTTTAAAACCCACTTTCTCATATGAATCGTTTATTTCAGAAACACGTCAAACGTCAAATACAAAACACGCGTTAGCGACGGATTATTGTTCCAGAGGGATATACACATCATTTAGTGCATATTTATATGAAAAATATTCTTTTAGCAACTTCTTAAAAAAAATTTTGAAATCTGAAAAATTGGGAGACTTATTGTCCGTTTTCTCGAAATGAGGAATTTGGCGTTTGACGGGCTTCTGAAATGGACGATTCATATCTACGTGCGCGTTCTCGCTGTGAATGCGCCCGGGGGGCGAAGCACCACCGAACACACAGAGCAAACACCCCGGCGGGGGAGCGCCGTACCTGGAAGTAGGTCCGCTGAGCACAAACCAACACAAGCACACGGGTTAGCGGGCGCAGGCGGGGCAGACAGCGCTCGCCGCGCGCCCTGAGTCAGAAGATCGGATATACGGGCGCGGGGAGGGGCGAGCGGAGGAGCCGGGCGGAGTCGGGGCGCGCAGGCGTGCGAGCGAGCGAGACGTGTGGCGAGTGCGTGGGGGACAGTCTTGGCGGCAGCGCGCGACGGAAGCAAGGAGTGAGGGCTGGGCCGAAAGCGGGGAACGACGAAGAGCGGGGGGAGGGCGGCGGGCGGGGAGACGAGGGGGCGGCGGCGACGGGGCGAGGCCGCGGATGGATGGGCGTGGGGCGGGACGGCCACAGGGCGTGGTCACAGAGCGGAGGCGAGGGAAACGCCGGCCTAAAAAATTATAAGCTCAAGGGTGGATGTGAGTGGGAGCGGCCTGAGCGAAGAGCTGAGAGAGTGTGTGAGCGGGTGCGAGAGAAGCGCGCGTGTGCGCGAGAACGGGAGGCGCGGCCGTTGCCGCAGCGCAGGCTATCGGGTGTCCCAGTTCGAACTCCACTCGTCCGTCTTATGCTCTCTCTTAGCGCCAGTGAAGAGTGAAAAGTTGCGCCAAGGAGGTGTTTTTACAAGACAGAGGGGTCGTGGTCTTTTGGAAGTGTCGAGACGACGTTTCACAGTGCCACAATTTTATCATCGATAATTTTAATAATCGTTCTATGAAATAGATGTAGATTATTTTCATTTACCCAAAATTGTTTACTGTGTTGAAAGGAAATCCTAATGATACTGGATGAAAGCCTCCAATTTACAATTTTTATAGATACAAAATTCAGGCAAAACAATATATCCCATAGTATTTACATTTTCGAAACTTTTAGAAACAAATAAATAACAATTCTTACGTCATTAACATTCATTATTTTGTTCATATTTCCACGCGTTCCATTAAGCGTCGTCTCGAGTGACCTACACGTTGAAAGCCAAGCGGTGCCACATAACCTCAACAGGCACCGACCTGCGACCAAGACCCGGGGAAGTGCGCCTCCAGGACCCACTACGCGGGCGCGGGTGCGTCGGGGACGCCGCGTTGCCCTACCTGCGACGTGTCGTCGGTGGCTGACTTGATGAAGCCTCGCAGCGACTCCTCCTTGTGGAACATGTTGTCCGTGCGCTTCTTGACCCGTTCCACCAGCGGCAGGAACGGGTCTTTGAGGAGCTCCTCCGACGAGTTGATGATGATCTGCTGGGTGTATGCTGAAAAGAGACGATTGAAATATTACACTGGAATGAACGTATGAAGTATAAAGGTATGAAGTGTAGGTCGTTGTGATTTCTAGATTGATATCTCTATCTTTAATACTGTCTTCGATATAAGCAAATTTTACCTATTTTAAATGAGTGGGAGAAATTGGTGTGTGTAAGAAATAAGAGAAAACCCTCTTCAAGAGGAATAAACATAAGAAAGGGGAATGTAAGAATATGACTAAAAACATTATAGAAAAAGAACCAAAAGGGACGAAGAACAAATTTCATAATCACGGGCAAGTCTTTTCCACAACTCTTCGAGTTAGATTTTTTCAATGTCTCAAGATTGAACTGTGCTCTTGGCGAAAAAGTTCTTTCATATTTTCTTATGTGATAAAAACTTGTAAAGAGGCGCAGTATGTTTCGTAAAATTGAACATGTGGAATATTTGAAAATGCACAAGAGTTGCAAGAGAGCTTTGACCGTATTGTTAAATTCAATTAGGTTAGCTCTATTCCAAGACAATATTTGAATCAGCTTTTGCCAACATTTTGGAAATAAGCCTCCATAAGCCAAAATTGACTCCAAAATTTAAAACAAAGTTCTTTAAAATTGTCTGTCTCTGAAGTTGAGCATGTTATTTTCATTAAAAAAATAATATTCTATCATGTACTTTTTTAAAAATATTTTTGATGCTTGGTCATTATTCATCGACTGGCGAGGTGTTGACATTTGAATTCGTCACTAACCATAAAATGTCACCCCCTTAATCATAGTTGTGTGTGGATACCATATATAATCATGTGTTGTTCGTCATTAAATCATCATTTCCTCCCTCTATAAACTCATTGAATACTGGCTATGAAAGGATCTGTGGAGATCCGTGTTGTGAATTAACTATATATCGTCTTTTTTTAGATTCTGGCTGAGAATGGATCTGACCTAATCCTGTATTGTTTATACTTGAGCATAAATCATCATTTCACCTCCCCCAATGCATTGAATCTGGCTGTGACCCTGTGTTGCGGCTATTTCGTGAATTGAGCGTGGTTCGCGGTGGCCTGTGCATCCTCAACCAACTCTTTGGCTCCTGCCGGCGAACGGGTCTGAGCCGGTTCATTGCACTGACCGGCGATGCGGGTCATCCAGGGCGCGTTCTCGTTGCCGATGTTCTTCTTGATGAGCTTGAGCACGTTCTTGAGCAGCTGGTTCATGTGGTCGGCCGTCACCATGGACACGTGCGCGCCCTCCTGCGGGCTGACGTTGTCGGGGCCCTGCGCCCACCAGAAGGGCAGGTAGGAGCACAGCAGCGGCAGGATGACGTCGATGATGTGCGGCGCGTCCACGTGCGTCTTGTCCGACTCGGCGAACGCGTCGACCTCGGCCAGCACGGCCTCCAGCGTCGGCATGCTCTGCTCCATGCGCGCCAGCACGTCTGCAAGCGGCGCGACAGCCGTCACAGCCCGATTACACACACAACATACACTAATTCACAATAAATGTACAAACTTGCAATTGATATACGATAATTATTCTACCTATGATATGCAAAAAACTAAAATTGCAATTAATATGAGTATTTATTATAAATTTACGTATGTATTGTAAATTTGTAATACATTTTCAAAAATTGCTATTAATACATTAATATGTGATAATTATCGTACGTATCCTACATTTGATATGCATATGATGTTTGATATTTACGTACTTAAACACGTGCCTACATGTATTATCTCTTAAGCATACAAAGAAGACCTTAGATGGACTAGGATAAATAGAAAATTGACTGCAAAATTGACTCCAAAATTTTAAAAAAAGGTCTTTAAAATTGTATGTGTCTGAAGTTGAACCTGTTATTTTCCTTTAATAAATAACATTCTATCATGTATTTTTTAAAACTATTTTTGATGCTTGGTCATTATTCATCGACTGGCGAGCTGAGTAATAAAACTCTTTCTTTATGAAAGTGGACTTGTGTCGCTAAGGGAGATATGCATGGGGAAAACGACATTAAATAATTAAACAAAAAAATACTATTTTCGTAGCAGTTAGTTTTGTTTTTAAAGTCAAATAAATGCTAAAATATTTATAAAAATCAACACAAGTTTCTTTGAAATATCAATACTTTTGCTCCACCCTTTCAGTTTTCGCGTGAAGTTTTCTCCCACCCTCTTTTTGGCAAGTAGTCAATCGCCCATGAGGCACGCCGCTTACGCCAAACCGAAAGAGTGTTATTTGTCACTTGCGTGATGTTTCGTCTGACAGTCCCTTTCGAGGGCCACTGTTTTGGGCAGGTCTGCGTTCCCCGGCTGGTGAATGCGTAAGTAAATGTCTTGTGAGTAGGTGATTGAGTGAGTGAATGAGTGAAAAAATATTAATTCCGGTCGGGTGATCTACTGAGGTCATTGTGTCCGTAAGTTTTGTGGATGTCAAATCCTCGGAGGTGGCGATTTTCCTTCTCTGGGTACTTCCCCTCGCGGTACCGCAAGCTGAAAGCACCTAACAAGAGTCCACACACATGTAAACGTGTGTGCGTAAGTGTACAGAGGATGAGGAAGGAAAGATCGCGCACGGTACGTAGCCCGTTTGTTAGGGTACTGCTCCGACATTCGTCTAGGGTTGTTCGAAGAAACCAGAGAAAACTTCTTGACCGCGGAAGCTTACGTGTGCATCAGAGAAAACTTCGCCAGAATTGTCGTCGAGACAGTGATTGAAATCAACCCAGCTACGTAGCTAGGACCGACAGGACTCGAACCCTAGACCCTACCTGAGGGGTGCCTTCCCACTGGATGGTGAGATTCGGCGCCGACCTATACTCCCCATCCACGTATCGCCTCCAGCGAGGTGCCTCTCTAGCTGAAAAATCTCCCACCCCCTCAGCAGCCTCCCGGCAGGTGTGTAAGTGGTGCATGCAGTGATGGTGGTGGTGGTGGTGGTGGGGGAGGGGGGGCTCACCCTGCGCCTCGAGCGAGTGGTCCGCGATGCGGTTGAGCAGCGAGTATGGGTTGTGCTTGTTGAGGTGCGGCTCGAGGAAGGCCACGGGGAACGTGGAGGAGAAGGCGCCCAGGCACGAACCCAGCGCCGGCCGGTTGCGCTCCAGCTCCGTCTTCAGGTACTTGCGGTCGTGCGTCAGCGTGGCGTCGATGCCCATGGTGTAGAGCGACGCCAGCATGCGGTACGACGCCACCTGGATCTCGTCCACTGCAACATCGCACGCCGTTCGCCGTTCGCCTTGGACGCGATACAACAACCACCATACCCGTTTTAGATATTTACGTGCTGGTTTTGGCGAAGCTAAGTGATTTAAACGGCAATACAGAGTACAGCTGTGGTGCGTTTATTTACTCAGTTTTCAACATCGACCTTGTTATTTTGAATCAAATTATACTTTCTTTTAAGAATATTAAAATATATAAAATCGTTCAGTGGTGTATATTAATAAAAGTGAAACGCATGTAACAATATAATTGTGATAAGAGATATGATTCTATTGATGACAAAATGTTGCTAACACTATATTGCTTACTCGTGTATTATTTACATTGAAATCACTCTCTTTTTTATTTACCGGTATGTAACGAAACTACACATAAATTATAAGTCATATAATTTAATTATCTTATATTGGTGTTACATTGTATTTAAATATTAATAATCGTACTTTCCCTTCTAACCATCTAAAATAATTCGACTATCAAATAGAGAACGTCGTGATTGAGGTTTTAGATAAATAGATTTTATCAGTTCTACCACCTCAATGGTAAACCTTCCCAAGAATCACATTTCGAGAAGTATTGAAGATAATTTTATTGTTGTGATGAAAGAAAAAAAACTACTTTCCCATATCTATTTCTTCATATATGCCTTTATAACAATCTAGGAAAACCGAGTATCAGTTATAAAAGAGGAGTCAAAAGTCACTCCAATTATAAACAACACGACTTTATTTATGATTTACCCACCTGTTATAAATCACGTGCTTTTGGGTGTACAACATTTAAAATATTTATTTACTTCCTGTTGAAATGTACAATTTATTTCATTTTATAACTTGTGTTTCAGTTTTTGAACACTTTATTTACAATACTATAACTGTGAGACACGATATCAAGACGATATAGAATAGGGAAATTGAATTATGTAATTATTGATTTAATATTGCAAAGAAAGAAATATTAAATCCAATTTCAAATTTTTTAAAGGATTAGAAATCTATTTTAATATTTGTAATAATTAATATTTTTTCTAATATTTGTAATTTGAATGTTCTTTCTAGAATGTACTGTCATTTAACTTGTTCATTTGGAATTGTTATTCAATTATCTTTTTTTATTAACCTTTCCTTCTCATTCTCAATAAACTTTACAGAGAACAGTGACTTATTCTGCATGTACTCAGAAGCCGACGTAATGTCAAGTGCAGAGGGCCGGGTACTCACGCAGCAGGTCGCTGCCATACTCGCACGCCGCCAGGTGGTCGAACATGGCGGTGAGCACGGGCAGCACCACGCAGTTCACGTAGAACAGCGACGTGGACGTCTTGAGGTGCGTGCCGCGCAGGTGGCTGTACTTGCCCTGCAACACGCGACCACGCCCCCTGCCGCTCAGGCCAACTGCCGATCAGACCCCCTGTCGCTCAGGCCAACTGCCGATCAGGCACCCGCCGCTCAGGCCAACTGCCGCTCAGGCCCCTGCCGCTCAGGCCCCCTGCCGCTCAGGCCTCCTGCCGCTCAGGCCCCCTGCCGCTCAGGCCCCCTGCCGCTCAGACCATCTGCCGCTCAGACCATCTGCCGCGCAGGCCCCCTGCCGCTCAGGCCCCCTGCCGCTCAGGCCCCCTGCCGCTCAGGTCCCCTGCCGCTCAGGCCCCCTGCCGCTCAGGCCCCCTGCCGCGCAGGCCCCCTGCCGCACAGGCCCCATGCCGCGCAGGCCCCCTGCCGCTGAGGCCCCCTGCCGCTCAGACTTCCTGCCTGCGGGCTTGAACTGATGGCACGGCAACTACTAAACTCTTTAGTCACGTTTGTGTAGTGAATGTTTTGTGTTTGGATGAGTCGGGGTACCACACCATTGGATAGTGCGATTCGGCGCCGCCATACTTGACGGCTTGCGAGGGAACCCATTCAAGGTATCGCCTCACGCGGGTGACCTATCCAGCTGGAAATATCTCTCAGCTTCCGACCTGTGGTAGTGTAGTGCATGTACGTGGAAGTGTGTAAGGGATAGGACAAGGAAGAATTTGTGGCACGTTTGGCAGGGTATAGCTCCTGCATTCGCCTGGTATTGATAGGAAAAATTGAGGAATAGTACCAATCAGGGCCACCTGTCGCTAGAATTCTCCTCTGACAGTGACTAAATTCGACCCAGCTGTGTCGGCAGAGTCGAAAGTTCACCACAGAACCGGTCACAATTACTGCAGAATTAGTGCAGCTAAAACTCTGAGCTAATCAACCCGTGCGAGAGGGCGGGATCTCACTTATCCAAAACGAGATTTTTTACCTCAGTGGTAGTTAACTTTTTGAAAAATAAAGACCAGTTTCAGAATATTAATACTACTGAAGTGGCGAAATGCCTTCTTCATACGCATCGATTTATTTCACATAGTTTACTACGAACAATGAAACCTATAGCCTAGCATATGACGATCAATAACTGTAACTTCATTAGACATTAATATAATTTACAACTGAGAACTTTCTATAGTTTACGTTGTGATTTTACCAGTTTTGTTCCAAAGAAAAAATGCGTGAAAATCAGTGACACCTTTCCAAGATATCTTTTTGAGTAAAATTTGTGATTGTAGCTTAAATGCAACGTAATTGTAAAATAAATTAAATTCCGACTCACCTCTTGCAAATTCTGGATGGTATGATTAAGATCATCCGCCGTGTTGTTGAAGAATGTAAGCATGGAGGTTCGGATGAACTCGGGGCAGTTCTTTACCAGAGACCTGTGGACGGTAAAAGCAGCTTTATTGAATGAACATTCTTACTGCGAAGACATAAAGAAAGAAATCGCGATGACTAAACTAACACATTGTTGTAAACATCTCTAATGTCTAAGTTTGTGTATATAAGAACAAATTTAGATCGTTTATTGAGTTAAAATAATTAAACTCAAATGCAGTAGAACAATGCAGTAACTAAGATTTAAGAGTTATTTACGTAATCAAAAATAGATACTGAAATCACGTCGGAATCATTTCTCATTAACATGTTGCCTACCAAAGTCGTTTTCAGAGCCTATTTCACTGGCGCCAAGAAAAGTCTGAGACAATGTCTAGTGATACTACCCGGTCTCACGGAAGATAGGAATGAGATCATGTGGTCTCACACAACACTTAATGTTTTAAGATTTATTTATACGTTGTCGTAGTCTTGAAAAGTCCTTGGTTTGCTCGTTGGTTATCGTGTTCGCTTCTCAAGGCCCAACCTCCCAAGGCGCGGCCCCGGGTTCAATTCCCATTCGGGGCAAAAATTTAAGAAAAAAAGAGCAATTGTCCGCTTTCCATGCAATGTCCCAGTATCTGTTGCTGTGTGACGATGAGAAAGGTCACTTCTCAGGTGGACAAGACCAGAATACAGCATAGGGATGTCTATGTGCAAACCACGCGTACCCCTTATCCCATGGCTGCAAAGCCGGAACGCGGCTGGCAGACCTTAGGTCGTAACGAGCTGTCGTGCCAAAGAACATACACACCCGGCGCGCGCACTTACTTGGCGTCGATGCCCTTCACCAGCACCTGCAAGCAGCGCACCGTGATGCGCACATCCGCGCCGAAGGCGGCCAGGCGGGAGCGCAGCAGGGATGCCAACTTGCAGAACAAACTGAAAAAAAACAAGTCATTTCTTTACTGTAAATACTTCATTTCAACATTCACGCATTGTTGTTTACAAAAATATTACCATGGGAAAATAATTGCTATGAAAAAATGATAGATATATTCGAAAAATTCCTTGATACTTTCGCGAGACAAAGCGGTTTGATCTGACACGTTAAGATCTAAGCACCGTGACAATCCAGAACGGAAATTGGTTGCGATTTTAAGAGAACAATTTAAAGCCTACAGTTGCGAGCTAAATAAGGCAATAAAAGTATAATAATAATAAGTATACACAACTTTTAAGTAACGTTTTAAATGACAGGCTTTTCGATCATTAAGGCAATTCTGAAAATTCCAGAGACTTTAGAATGTAGGTTTTTAATAAAATCGGGCAGATCAGTAAACTTATTCTTCAATTAATACGTTTTTACTAATTTTGTGATATTTACATTCTCATCATTTTCATTATGGCAGCCAATCATGAAAAAAAATATTCATTCACCCAGTAGAAAGGTTTGGAATTTTAAAACGTTCAGTAATCACGAAATTGTTGGTGTGCAAAGTAGAGCTGCTCGTAAATGTTTCCTAGAAAGTGTTAAGCAGAGATGCCGATTAACGCGGTTCGGAGGTGGTGCGTTCTCGTGAGACGGAGAGAAGTTGGAGCGCCCACCTGGCGACCATCTCCTTCTCCTTGAGCGACGCCGCGCCCACGTTGTTGGTGGCGGTGGCCACGGCGATGAAGTAGTTGCGGTGCGTGCTGAAGTACTTCTCCATCAACGGCAGCACCACCTGCGCAACGCACATTTGCAATAGTACTCAGTTCAATACAATAATAATTCGTAATACTGACTTTCGTAACACGTGCTTGCTTGTTGTGAACAGTTCTGCGTAGTTTTTTTTGCGTATATGATAACTGTTTTGTTAAATAAACATCTGAAGCATTGTTTTTAGAAAGAATTAGTTTTTCAGTAATGACCGACAGTAAATTTTCGAATTATTGTATTTACTCAGATCAACGCGTGGTTTTTTTATTGTTCAAAATAATATTTTCGTAGATTTTAAATACAATCTTAAACAAGAATGTAAATGATTTGCAAAATAAGAGGAATATTACCTTTCCGGATCGATTTAAAGCCAAGTGTTAACGAGATTATGGCACGCATGTGCTTTCACATATGAATTTGTATTGTAATTTTATGCATGGCAATATTGGAACATTCGGATTTTTGAAATGAGATAAACGCACTTAACAGCATACTTTGTAGGTAACATAAAAGGCTTCAGAAATGCAAATAACACTTTTTGTGCATTTAATTCTTGGTCTGCACTCATGTAATCATAACATTTCTGTAAGTAACAAGGCTTTGCCTTGATATGTACGCAGCGTGAAACGTTACGTATGCAGATGAAGAAATAAATTTGAATTGTATATTTCTCCATTTATCAACTCAGATCTATCCGTGAGAGATCCTAGAGATACTTTCAATTTACTACCAAAAAATACAATTTACAGTATTTTATTGCATGATTTGTGCTAGTAAATTATCTACTTACAGAAAAGATGCAATTTCTGCAGCTGACAATAATGTTTTTATATGGTTATATATTTTGATAAAAAACATTTAAACACTTAAAATTTATGCAGATAGATCTTAGGGACAATATGTTTCGAAATAACATTTACGGCACAGGGATAAAAGGCGGGCAAGGAAACGAAAGCTGACCAGAGATAATGGGAGGCTCAAGAGGAGAATTTCACCTCGTCAGAGGACGTAAGGGTAAGGCCGGCCACTGAAGTACACGCACGTTTTACATTGAAGAAAAAATTGACCACCAGACGAAATGCTCGAAGAATGTAGGCTGACTGACATCTTTCATTTTAGAGGAAGATGGGATAAAGCGAGGTATCAGAGAATGTGGATAATTTGGAGAGTTCAGGCTGTAGCGATGACTGAATAAATAACAATATACAGACCTCAAACTTGAAATTGGACCCTGGTGGTGAGAAAAGTTGGAGTTAATTCGAAAGAGGAGTAACTTTTAAGTAATATATTGTAAAGAAGAAGAAAGGAGAAGCCTGTAACTAACAGTAAGTCTTCAGTGACTTAGCAAAGCCAAATTCTAACGCTCTTTGATAGGTTGATAGTTGAATGAAGACCACAGAAAGGGAATCGATTCAGAAAACAAAGAAAGAAAATGCCAGCGGTTCGCACGCACCTTGGAGAAGAACTTGATGTCGCGGGTGCACGTCTTGAAGGAGTTGCGCCGGCTGAAGGTTGGTGGAGGGATTGAGGAAGGACCACGTACCTTTGGAGAAGAACTTGAGTCGCGGGTGCAACGTCTAGGAGTTGCGCGCGGCTTGAAGGTGGTGGAGGGTTGGAGAAGGACCACGTTAACCTTGGAGAAGAACTTGATGTCTGGGTTGCACGTCTTGAAGGAGTTTGCGCCCGGCATGAAAGTCGTGGAAGGTGAGCAGTCAGGAGGTTAGTTGGAGGAAGGACCACGGTAACCTGGCGAAGAACTTGATGTCTTCGGGTGCACGTCTTGAAGGAGTTGCGCCGGCTGAAGGTGGTGGAGGGCTTGAGCAGCTTCATGTTGATGGAGGCCGTGTCCAGGTACTGGATGAGCTTCTCCAGCAGCGAGTAGGCGAAGCGCAGCTCGACGGCCGCCCCCTGCGCGCCCTGCTCGGCCTCCGCGCCCGCGGGCCCGCGCGTGGGCCGGTGCAGCTTGAAGCTCTGGTACTGCATGTACTTGAGGAACTCCTGCGAGCGCTCGCGGTCCTTGCGCTTCTCCTTGTCCGTCAGCAGGTCGTAGGGCACCAGCTGCGGGTGGATGGCGCCTCCTGCGCAGCGCGCGCCACACTTCAGATTAGACCGAGAAGACCGCTTTCCTCGAGGTAGGAAAGGAAATGAACGAAGCGGATATGAACAACGCATCGGACACAAACATAATGCACACCTCTTTATTTTGTCTAACCACGATCTATGGCTTCTAGGCTGTCCGGGTGACGCCGTGTCGTTGGCAGAAAGGCCGCCGTCGTATCGCAGGCGTCTTCAGGGTAGTGACACAGTATAGCTCCGCCTCCGGTGTTATATCTTTTTCAGCCTAGGGGCTCGGGTAACGCAGGTGCGCCGTGACCGGAGCTTTACTGTGTTACTACCCTGAAGAAGCCTGTGATATGACAGAAGAAACGTCGCCCACTCAACCAACGACGCGGCGTCACCCGGATAGCCTAGAAGTCATGAACTCGAGCCGCGGAAACCTACGTGTACATAATCACGATTTATGCAAAACTAAAAACCACAGCACGTTACAACACGTTGAATCGTAGAAACTAAACAGTAATCTATTACGTGATACATACGGCCATGGTCGCCAACCAACACCTTGGGATGCCACTATTGCGAATTTTTTCTTATTTTTTGCTTACAGATTATTAACAATACCGAAAACTTTATGAGAGAATAAGGGGACGTCATTAAATAAACCTCGTAATCAGCTCTTTAAAGTATAAAAATATAACTGTATAATACTAATGTTATATTACTGTATATTGCACGTTTCAATTGTAAAGCAAATGGTGGTTAAGGTTTTACTCAGATGACAATGTTCTTAAAAATTATTACGAAGAATTTCTAATCAGCGAGTTGTAACTTATCAAGTAACTCGCCCTTAGAGATTTCTACTTTCGAACTACAGTGTAACTTCAGGTGTTGGTAGCTGATTTGCTAAACCACTCTCTGGGAAGTCACGGACGTTAAGAAACATCAGGGTTTCCAGATGAGTCTTGGAAGCCCGGGGATCTAACAGCACCGGCCACTGGCCGAAGGGAGCGAAGACTGACTGCGACTGACGAATGACTAGATTAATAGAGGATTACTCTGCGCTCGACGCCAGTAGGAATATTTCGAGTACAATATTACGAAAAATGTAGCATATTTTAAATGTAATGCATTAAACAAAGATAACATCACAAGCAACTAGATTTTCCTCCTGTTTAATTCAGTGCTTGTTGATTTTCTCCCCGTTATAATAAATATAATTGATGGATTCTACTAGCCCCTAGCGCTATTCTGTGTTTTATATTTTGCCGCCATGTAAGCCTTATATAAAATAGGACTCCAAGATATTTGACAGTTTTATTGACGGGAGCCAGGTGATCTTTTACGATTGGTATGTGAGATTTGGAGGGACGTCTAATCTACTAAGGGTAAATATTTTTGCCTGGGCTTCATTTGGATTTATTTCAATATGCCATTTTTTGGCCCAGTTGGAAAATAATGAGAGTCGATGCTGCAGATCTTTCACGGCGGATTGAAGATTGCTATTGCAGGAATAAAGTACTGTATCATAGCAAACAGAGCTATTGCTGTATTTTGGGTAATCGGTATATCCGAAGTGTAGACATTACTAAAGTGGGGGAGAGGTTCCTTCCTCTAAGAAGGTAGAAGAATGCTCACCGCAGGTGGTGAGCTCCTCCTTCTTCTTCTTGGCCCAGATGTCGTGCGCGTTCTCGGCGAGTCGCTCGGCCATGTTCTGCATCTCCCTGCTCAGCGTCAGGTTGGTCATGTCCACCGGGTGCGGGTGGTAGTTGAAGGGCGTGCCGGTGTCCTGCGGAAAGGGGTTCATTGTGACAAAAGAAAACAGGTACAAAGCAGCAGAAAGGCTGGATTGTCAAACTCGTCACCCAAAATATAGAATCCCCGTGAATAAGATCTTGAACTCCACACACATTAGCCGATTAATGAATGCAAGCGTTTTTAAATAATTTGAAGAATACACTTATCATTGAATTAGCCATAATCGTCTTGCTGTCAATAACATAACATAACTTCCTAAACTATTAAATATACAACCAGGAATACACCGATAAGTAATAATATGTTTAAAAAATTAAAATTTGTAAAAATTATTATTATTGTTATTGTTATTATTATTATTATTACATCATTTGGTCACAGTTGTAGGCTTAATCAAATACGTGGAAATGCGTTTCCCGTTTCACTATTGCCAACTCTTCTTGCACCCCCAAAGCTGCTTGGCAGAAGTAATATTGCAAATGATGATTGACTGTTAGATGCATGTTTTTTGTCTATTTGGCATCTTATAAATTGTATAAAGCAGCCACCTTCCGTCAGCGAATTATATAAATGGAAGAGACATCATTAAGAGGAACACAGTTTTTTTACAACCAAATGTCTCATCCTGTTTACGCCAGATTTTATTTAATTTATTTTCGTATTTCTTTTAAATAGAGAGAACCTTTCTACATTTCATCTCGGCATTCCCTAAAAAGTTTTTCTTTTTACTTCTCAAACCTGGGTAATGCACTTTGATTATTATTGACCATTCCTCCATAGTAGCACATTTACGTGTAGATGTATTTTGTGTAGACGGCGTCTTATAAATCAAACAAAACATCCACGAGCACTCAGCCACTAAGATAATTTTATAAAAAGGAGAGATGATATTGAGAGGAACTCAACCTTTTTTTACACCCGAAATGCCTCATCCTGTATATTCCAGATTTCTGCTTGTATTGCATTTTTCTTCAATTGTCTACCTCCGACGCGCAGCCCTGCGCCGCCCCCGCTCTCTAGGCGAGCGGCTCCCGCCCCTCCTCCCCCGCCGCCAGCGCACTCTGTTGGCCAAGCGATTAATCACGGGTGGCAGCGCCCCGCCCATCGACCGGCCCTCGGTCGGCGCCGATAGCTGGCGAAGCCTCCCCGGCAGCGCCGCAATCAATCAAGGCGCCCCGCGGCCGGGGTTAGCCATCTGGGCAACGGCCGCGCAACATTATGTTAATCTCATCTCGACGCTGGGACAGAAAAACCTGTTCATTATCATTTCATATATTAAATGTTTTTTACCTACAAGGAAGGTATTAGTGATGCTGGCACAGAATATGACCATCATCATTACGATTAATTCTAAGAAATATATCAATTCCTGGGAAATACGATGTACAATTTCATTTACCCTTTAAGTACGACTGGTTGATATGACAAAACCGGACTACATGAAATTATTTTAAAAAATTATATCTTTGAAAATAAATGAACAATGTTGATTATTTTAATATTTTATCCATTTATCCAAGTTTTCGAGTAATATATCTTTTGATGAAAAATATAATACAAATGAGGCGCACACATATCGTAGCCACAAGGCATACCTAGAATACGTAATCTGCATTATTAACCCAGTGTCGTGCCTACCCCAGCATCCAGCGTAAACGTCGAGAGCCCCCCCCCCAAAAAAAGTGAAAAGAAACACAAAAGAGAAAAACACAAAGAAGATAAGCTTTCTATTTTTTCTTCTAGAGACTTGTAATTGTTTCAGTTTCCCCGAGTCTTCTTTGAGAAGTAAAGTGTAAGGATTAGAAGATGATGTAAATAAAAGTACAGAAGTAATGTTGATGGTTACTTATTGCCTAAGTATAAGATCTCTAGCCAAATCTGACAATCTTAGAGTGTTCCCAAAACATTATTTGTAGTCTATTCACATTTTTTAAAATTCAATTTTAAGTAAGGAACTATTTATTGAATTTCAATATCAAGTATTTCTATTTACTCGTAATATTGTTATTTCAATCTTCACTTCTTGAAATACAGGCTAACGTTTGTTAAAGATTCTACTAGCTAATTTCTGCCTCCCCTTCTAAAACTAGGTACTCTTCACTTCTCCTACTTACAGTCGTGGATAGAGTCATTGATATGTTGTCGACTTTTGCAAACATTTAGATAAGATAAATTATTTTGTCTAATTTTTAATTATAGATAACATATTAACTGGCTTTAATTTACACATCAAATGACAAAGTGACACCAACTAAAACATATCGACATTTAATATTGGGTTAATATTATTATTATTATTATTATTATTATTATTATTATTATTATTACAACTATAAACGCGGCTTCACACATTCGCCATTCGCCGAGCAGCAATCTACTGCTCGCACAATCCCGAACAGCTTATGTGTTCGGCGAATGTTCGCTCCCTTGAATGTGTCCTTAAGTACACGCGGTGAGTAGGACAACCACCGAACATTCGTCGCTCGGCAAGTAGCGAGCAACTCATCCACACTGCTTGGGATTCGGCGAGCGGTTGCTCACTACTCGCCGAATAACAAATGTGTGGGGCCCCCTAAAGGATATGCCCGTGTAGAAATATCGCTTTATTTTCCGTTACGTCGGAAAGAAAATACAGTTATAAATATGTTTATGCCCAACTGTGGCGTGAAAAGAAAAGGGAGTGTACTTACGGGAGCGGCCTTGGAGGCGCGTCGGGTGGAGTTGCGGTTGTTGGAGGGCAGGTCCGTCTCGCTGTGCTCCACCGTCCAGCCCAGCGCTATCAGCGCCTTCAGCGACTCCCGCACGGGCTCCTTGTAGCGCTCCTTCTCCTGCGCACGCACCACACTCCACTCAGCCCGCTCCACGACACTCAGTGCAACGAATGAAGGAGGGAGGAAGGGCACGCCATA